GAAATTCCTATTTGGCTGGGTGGCGCGACTTCTCTCAAGGGGGGCCAGGCTCACCCTCCTGACTGCTGTCCTCGACTCCTTAACGGTCTATTTCATGTCTGTTTTCAAGCTACCAAAATCCATCTTAGCAAAACTTGACGCTATTCGGAGAGCCTTCTTCTGGTCTAACGAGTCTACATGCACTGGAGCGAGCTGCCTTGTCGCGTGGAAAAATGTTTGCAAACCTAAAGATACTGGTGGTCTAGGCATTAAAAATCTTGAGATCCAAAACCGTTGCTTGCTTATGAAATTTTCTTCCAAAATTATGCAACACCCAAATGTTCCCTGGACCCAGTGGTTCAACCAACAGCACCCTCTCGGTATTGCTGCAAAAACTACACGACCTTCCTTTCTATGGAAGGTTATCAACAACAACTTGCCATTGCTCATTGAGCACTCCTTTGTCGTCACATACAATGGCCACTCCACCTTCTTCTAGCTAGATAAATGGCTGCTGCAATCACCACTTCAAAAAGTTTTTCCCAACCTCTACTCACACTCCATTAACGACAAGGTTTTAGTGGCTATTGTCTGGCAAACCAGCTTATTAGCGAACCTGCGGAATCGTCTATCTAATGCTGCTGCTCGCGAGCTGGATTGTGTGTTGTTGTTGTTGCCGGACTTCCAACAGGTCGACCAACCAGACGAACGGTCGCTCACCCACGGCCTGCCGTTCTCAGCAAAGAATGCCTACTCCTCTATTGTTGCTGAAGACTACATCGACCCATACCACGATCTTGTTTGGGCCTCTAAAGTCCCGATCAAGGTCAAGATCTTCGCCTGGCTACTCCTCCGCGATCGGCTCAACACGAAGGTCAACTTATTTCGCAAGCATATTGCTCAATCAGCCGCATGCCCTCGCTGTCAAGATCCTCATGAAGATGCGCTACACCTCATCTCCAGCTGTTCTTATGCTTCACAAGTATGGTCCGCCCTGGGGCTGCACGCTCCAACCTCTCTTGACGACCTGCTACAACACCAAACACTTCAAGGCCTCAACCCCAACATATGGCCATCAGTCGCTCTCACTATATCTTGGAAAATTTGGGACTCAAGAAACACCCTAGTTTTCAGAAACGATGATCATTCTCACAGAACCACGCTACGCAACATTGTAACTGATTTCTCTCTCTGGGTTTTTCGGTTCAAAAAGAAGGAAGACAAATTATTCGCTAAGCAATGGCTTCACTTCTTATCCTCAGCTACATCCTAAAAGGCTGATGTTGTAACTTATCTCTGTTGTAATTCTCGAACTTCCTTTGAGTGGTAATATATTCAGGTGGGGAAGCT